ATGGAGACATACAATCCAGGGCGCGCCTGTCAGTGTGCTAATTTTTCGGTCGTGTTTTTAAGACATCTAAGAGGAAAACACATTCAGCACACTGCGGCCAGTAGGGGTGAAATCTGAGCTTTGTGAATCTTTCAGAAAAGTTTAAGTTTATCCTCAAAATCACCTGATTTAAACTAAAGTACTTTTTTGGTCCTTAAAATTCCTTTTTAAAATGTCTTCATTTCCTCCCAATTTCTGGGATTGTGTGGGAGCTACTGGTAGGAGTCTCCCTGAAGCCCAGCAGCTGATCTCTAGTAGGCAGGCATTGCTACCCTGCACTGCAGTGCCTCCTTCCTCTGATTAGAGGATCCCTCTGCTGTGGAAGTCTGCCTCTTAGGGAAGGTCTGAGTTTCCTGCAAAACCTCTGGACAGACACCTGATGGGAGTCATAGCTGAAGTTTCTGAAACTGGTCGGGTCCCCTAGGTTTCCAACGAGCATGAACTCCTCGTATATGTGTGCCTTCAAGCACGGTCGTTCATCACTGAACTGCTCACACGCTGAGCACCATTCCTTACTACTACATTTTATGTAACAAGCCAGAACTGTGTCTGTAATTTTCAGTTTGTTCTATCTTTCACCTACCCATCTTAATTTTTTAACTGCTTAATATTTAAGAAGCTGAGTACTACTGAAAGACCTGGATAAATCCAGATCCCCCTAGAGAAAAATCAGAAATCTAGGATTAGCCAGCCAGTTCAGGGTTTCAGGAACTAGCTAAAGATAAAGTTAGATTATAATCTTGAGAAATGGGGAGTTTCCCCCTAGTAATTATCATTGGTATTTTTAGAATACTGTGTTTCATGAACTAGTTGATTATGACCTTGAGAGTGATCTTGAGAGGCAGGGAGTTGCCCCTTGTGATCATCACTGGTATTTTCGGAATTTTCTGTGACACCCTCCCTGCCCCTTTCTGATTACTGGGCTGTGGTTTCTTCCTATAAAAACCCCTTCGCCCGGGCACTCGGGGTCGAACTTTTCCCCTACGTGGGTTCTGAGTCTCGGCCCCAGTGCACTGGTTCTCCTCTCGATTAAAACCTCATGTGATTGCAGCAAGGACGGTGTCTCGTGAGTTACTGGATGGGGGGGGGGCATGTCATCCCGAGGCTTGAGTGAGAGTCTCCCCATATCGGGGGTCTTTCACTATTAATGTAGTAGTAGCAAAGCTCAGTAGGAAGGCTCAGGAGGAAGGCTCTTGCCTAGCATTTGCTGCAGTTTTCAACTGCTTAGCTTATTGATTTCTTTTCTTCCCCATCACACACAAATCACACAACAAATTAATGCCGCTTTGGTGGAAATGAGTATTTGCTTCTGTGCCTTTTTCTAACTAGACTTTTTAGTAACATACTATCTATATTCTATAGTCTAGTTTGCTCCATTATTAATGATAAAATAGCTTTATTTTGAGTTTACTAAGTACTAATCAAATACTCCCCACTGGAATGCATAATTGCAAGATATTTTCTCCTGCTAGAGGACTAGCCCATCTAACATTTAACTTATACTGCAGCCTGGCCTCTTATATTAACTTTTGTAGTTAAGTCTCATCTTGACTCCTATGAAAATAATTTATCAAAACACAAAATATATTCATATTCATACTCTATAGTAACAACATACCTTGAAAATAACCTAATACTTTGTATACTCACAATTCTTCCTAGTCTTTCTTTTTGTATTTTTAGCTTTCTATTAGCTTACAAAGATCAGGTTTCTTTATGGCATTTTAATATAAACTTAGTTTTGACTGTCATTACTTTCTTCATCCACCACTTCTGCCCTGTTTCTCACCTCTGTGCCCTTCAACCTTAAGTACCCCAATGCCCCCTTATGCTTTCATTCATTTCTGTTTTATTACTCCCCTTTCCCCTCTCTCTTAAAGCCTTTTTTTTAAAAAAAAAAATCAGATTGGCCATTTTCTAGTTTCCTAGTCTTTAGCACAGTTTACTCCTGTGGTTATTTGAATAAGAATGGCCCCCACAGGCTCACACATTTAAATGCTTAGTCATCAGAGAATAGCATCATTTAAGAACGTTTAGAAGGTATGGCCATGTTGGAGTAGGTGTGGCCTTGTTAGAGGAAGTGTGTTACTGGGACAGGACTTTGAGGCTTCCAAAGTCCCTGCTAGGCCCAGTCTCACTCATTCTCTCTGCCTGTGGATCAAGATGTAATTCTCAACTACTTCTCCAGCACTAGGCCTGCCTGCATGTTGCCATGTTCCCTGCCATGATGATAATGGCTAAACCTCTAAAACTGTAAGCAAGCCTCCATTTAAATGTTTTCTCTTATATGGACATAGTATTTCTTCACAGCAATAGAAGAGTGGCTAAGACAATGTCTAACAGGATACACATATTTAACAGTTACGAGGTAGAATCTGCATGTGAGAGAGAACATGCACTATTTATCTTTCTGAGCCTGGGTTTTCTCATTTAATATAATGTCTTACAGTTCAATCCATCTTCTGGCAAATGCCATAATTTTATTTTGCTTCATGGTTGAATAAAGGTCTATTGTTTGTATGTTCCATGTTTTCATTTCCATTCATCTTTTGATAGACATCAAGGCTGATTCTACTTACACTGGATTATGAAAAGAGCAGCAATGAACATGGATAACAAAATATTTTTTATGGCTGCTTAGGTATATGTCAAGATACATCTTAGCTGGGTCATATGGAGTTCTATTTTTATAACTTTGAGCAGCTTCCACACTAATTTAGATAGTGGCTGTACCAATTTCCACTCTCGACACAACGACTAAGATTGCTCAGAAAAATAAAAGCTACTTTGAAATCAAAACTCACTAGTTGGAAAGGCTGTCATCAAGAAAACAAAGGACAATGGAACTTGGGGAGAATGAGGACAAGGGAACCTTTATTTTGCTCTCTTTAAGAGGTAAATCTAATCACTTCTAACTTCAGACCCTACCTGTGACCTCGTATGGCCTTTCTGATTTTACAGAAATTGCTTTTGTTTTGTGAAATTTATAGAAATTTCACTGGCATAAACAAATCATTTTACTGTTGTTGGATGGTTTTTACTCTTTGGCTCTTCACAGAGTCCATGAATAAATAAATAATACATAAATATCAAATAAATCATACATAAAAATTTATTCTTACTTATAAATGCCCAACCTTAGTTTGCCTCGTTTCTAGCCAGCTTTTCTTAAATTATCCCATCTATCTTTGGCCTCTGGGCTTTTTCCTTTTCTTCTGTAACCTTAATTTCACTCTTACTCTAGGCTGGTTGTGTGACTGAGAATCTAGTCCCTGCATCCTCCCCTCCTTGTTCTCTTGCTCCTCCCAGATTTTTCCTCCAATTTATTCTCTCTGCCTGTCAGCCCCGCCTACACTTTCTTCTGCCTTTCTATTGGCCGTTCAGCCCTTTATTAGGCCAATCAGGTGTTTTAAGCAGGAAAAGTAACGCAGAGTTAAACAAATACAACATTATCGTTGCACCATTAAATGTTTCACAGCACAAAGGCAACATATCTTAAAATAATATTCAACAACATTTTACAACGAAACATTTTGGTTTTCATTGTCAATAAAAAAAACTTGTTTTTAAAATTAAAAAATATCATAAAATATGTGGAAGCATTATTGATGTTTCCTTAGAGAACTTTCAGAATTTTCTTTTATATAAATACCTCCAACATGAGCTGATTTGAGACCAGCCTTCTGTTTCAACCAAACAGCCACTGAGCACCACCCATTCCTAACATTGTTACATAGCAAGAGCAAAACTCATTCTTGGGTCATCTCCATTACTTTTATTTTCTCCCTAAAGAAAACAATGTTCCTCTAGTTCACAGATGCATTGCTTAATGTTCTTCCATTGATGTGCATTAATACTGAAGAACATATTTTAAACTATTTTAGTGTGCCCAAATTCTATGAAAAACTCAGCATCAGAACCATTCAAATCACTTTTTGCTTGCTTGCCCAGTTAAAAGTTTTGCAATAATTTTCACCAGCTATTCTCATCATCAATTTGCTAACGTGTATTATATTCTTTTTACATGAATGTTCCTTAGTCCTTATAAAACTAACATCAGCTTAATAGTTTGATATCTTGATGCACCTCCTGTAGTAGTGTAAGTATGGATTTCAATACTCAAAATTACTGTTAGAGTACACGGAATTATCAAATGCAAAGCCAATTTAAGGTTAAGAGCTTGGGGCAACCTTAAAACCTATACAAACAAGTCCTACATGTCCAAGGTTTTTCTAATTCTCTTTTGGCTGAATAATAGACAAAACAATAGAAAAGTAAAGCAGAATATGAGTCTACTTTCTAGACTACCTGCTTATGTTGACACAAGTAGTTCAGACATACTCGATGTAGCAAACAACAAAAAACAAAAGCAACTTTGCATTCTAAAATGCTTTCATACAAAAATAAATCTATCATCATGTCTTTGTCTCATATAAAGTTACTTTAAAAAATAACTGGTACTCTCAAAGTTCACTAGTCCCTTTTTCCAGACCAAGGCCCCCAAGCTTGACTTTACAGAATTGTAGCTTCTATAATAGCCACTCTTCGGTATACAAATCACTCTGTTCAGAATACAACCCCTAACCGAGTGGCTAATGCACCACCTCCCGTTGAAACTGTGGGCTGGGTGTAGCAGGTCCAGCCTCCACCAGTGTTCAGAAGTCACTCTTTGAGGACGAAGCTAGCCTGGACTATCAATGAAAAAATAGGCAGACTGTCTCCACAAACAAAAAATGGCTTTCATGACTCTGGAACAGAGAATTTTCCTTCCGTCCTCACTCTATGTCCTAAAATGCTGGATGGGGAAAGAGATCCAACACAAAGGGTCTCTTTTCTCTCTGGGAAAAAAAGCCAAGCAGTTACCCAAGAAAGCTCACAGCAGCAGTCTGCAGCCAGTTATTCACAAGTAGAGATGACCTCTGCGAACTACAACTAAAACTCAACCCCCAAACAGGACTTACCAGCTACACCACAGGCACAATCCAGAAGAAAATGTCGCTGAGGCGAACGCAGTAACCGTCAATATCGCACTTCCTGTGGCAGCTCCGCCCTCGAGGACAGGAAGAGGCGTACACCATGAGGCACTTCCTGTGGCAGCTCCGAAGTCGCACCTTCCAAACTGACCAATCAAATGACCTCATTATATCCAGAGGCAGTGCCAACGAGGCTGGCATCAAATTCCCCATATGAAGCACATTGCTTCTCTTGTTGGCATTCTTCTCTTCCAAGCCATGATATTCTCTAGCATGCCCAGAACCTTTCTCTCAATTGTATTTTTATATCAATCAGTTATGGGGGAATATTGAGATTTCTTATAGCTATCTGACCTCACTGATTTCAAGATGCTGATAATGGTTGATAAAATAATCTTATGATCGAGATGGTACCTTTGAAAGGCAAAGTGGCAAAATCATTATTTAAAATTCTAGGGGTATAAGATTTGAGGATGAGAACATGATAAACCCAATAAAGAGTATAACTAATTCAGTGATTTTGCAAACAAAATTATTTCTAAAGACTAAAATACTGTAATAATATTAATATTAAGGGGAAAATCTTAAAATTTCTATGTTCGTTAGTTTAAAATAATATTAGCAATTATTGGCATGTATCGATGCATTTTAGCTAATATATTTTTTTATTAATTTAAATTAGCTTTAAAGTCTCAAATATTGTCACTAATACTTTCTGGAGAGCATATTTTGATATGTGTTATGTTTTTGAAATTCTTTTTTTTTCTTTTTTCGTTTTTGAAACAGGGTTTCTCTGCAGCTTTGGAGTGTGTCCTGGAACTAACTCTTGCAGACCAGGCTGGCCTCATCCTCACAGAGATCTGCCTGCCTTTCCACTCTGAGTGATGAAATTAAAGACCTGCACCCCCACCACCCCAGAGTTTTGAAATTTTTAAAATTACTTATAGTGATGGTTTGGATGATAATGATCCCCATAGGCTAATAGATTTGAAGACTTGGTCCTCAGTTGGTAAAATTGTTTGTAAAGCCTTAGGAGTTGTGCTGTGGCCTGCTTGGGGGATATGAGGCCTTTATTTGAGAAAGTTTGTCGAGAGGGGCTTTAAGGTTTCAAATCCCACATAATCCCTCCATTCCCCATTAGCATTCCCTTGCTCCTACTTGCAGGTTAAAATGTAAGCTCTTTTATTAGATAATTTTGGGGGTTTCCATTTGATGTGCAAGGAGCTTATAAGTTGGCAATACAATTTATAAAAAGTTGGATAAATTGATAAATCAAAAACCCCTAGATCTCTGAGAACAGTGATATCATACAGTAAACAGCTGTCTACCAAGTTGGAGAGAAAGACTGATGCAGAGAATCTCTGTTTACTGGAGCAGAAATCCCATGGGAAACACGGCCAGGGTAGCAAAGACAGCACTATAGTGATGAATTACCTAAACCTCAGTGGGGACAAGCGCAAGTGTTAAAAAGTTCAAGCTGAAAGTCATAAGGAGACTGACACTTCTTTTGAGTTTTACTTATCTTATTTTAATTTTTTTAAAGAAAATAAACTATCTTCCTTCATTATAAATACCAATCCACGTTCCCACTGCCTCCTCTCCTCCCATTCCTTCCACCTACTCGGGCACCCACCATCTACTCCACAGAGAGGGTAAGGCACATTGCTTTGGGGAGGGTTCAAGGCCCTACTATATCTAAGCTGAACAAGCTATACATCCAAAGAGAATTGGTTCCCCAAAAGCAAGTACAAGCAATAGGGATAAATCCTGGTGCCATTGCCAGCGGCCCCTCAGACGGCCCCAGCCATGCAGCAACTGCCAACCACATTCATAGGGATCAGTCTGGACCCAAATGTGTTCCTTCCCTCTCTATCTGGAGTTGGTGAGTTCCCATCAGCTCAGGTAAACTGTTTTCAGTGGGTGTTCCCAGCATGGTTTGAGCTCTTTGCTCATATTCTCATTCCTCCCACTCTTCAATTGGACTGCTCTGGTGCGGGTCTCTGCCTCTGTTTCCATCAGTTGCTGGATGTAGGTTCCATAGTGATATTTAAGATATTTATCAGTCTGACTACAGGGCAAAGTCATTTCGGGCACCCTCTCCTCCATTGCCTAGGGTTTTAGCTGGGGTCATCCCTGTGGAATCCTGGGAATCTCTCTAGAGCCGGGTTTCTTGCTAGCCCCAAAATGGCTCCCTCAATCAAGATATCTATTTCCTTGCTCTCATCTCTATCCTTCCTCCATCTTTTTAATCAGCTAAGTAGTCCATTTGTTTGGAAATATAATGAACTATTAATTTTGAGGAATTGTGGGCCATAAATAATTTTTAAAACTTCAGAAAGGGTGTCATATAGATATGTCTTGTCTTAAGTTCACTATACTGGCTAAAGTCAGGATTGCACTTATTCTCCTGCCTCTGCCTTACAAATGCTGATACTGTAGGTGTGCAGAACCATAATAAATGATTTTATAAATGCTCCTAGCAAGAAAATTATTGTTACCTTTGGCCTTGTGAGAAATATACCACAAAATATGTAGCTATTATATTTGTTCATGTTTCTTTTTAATATTTGCATAACTGTAAAATTGTTGTATAATAATTATTGTAAACATATTTAAAGACAAATATATCATACATATTAGCCATAAATATTATATATTCAATATTTTTTTTAAGATGTAAGCTCGCAGATACTACTCCAGTCCCATTCCTGCCTGCTGCTATGGTCCATGTCTTGATAACTATAAACTCTAATCCTTACAAAATGTAAGCCCAAAATAAATGGCTTTCTTCTATAAGTTGCAGTGGCCATAATATTTTATCACAATAATAGGAAAAATAACTGAAAAAAACACCAATTTTCTTAAATTGTTATGGCTCTGGTGTCATTCAGAAATTCATTTATCTTATTCAAATTTTAATTTTAGTAAAAAAAAAGGCATTTTTAAAAAATGGCCAGGACCAAACCAGAGAGTTTTATAAGTAAGGTCTCAGCTATTGTTAGTCCAAAGATTTTAAAGGCAAAACTCACACGATTACATAGATATTGCCTACCTGTTGGCAATGTCTAAGTTTAACACATGTGTCTTATGGTTGTCCTAGTCATCTTTATAAGCACAGCAAACGAGTTTGTTTACAATCACAGAAATAGCAGTTAGTCTTATGACCTATTATCTTGTTAGAATAGCAAATTTTACAAGATCAGTCAATTTGAGAACAGTCTTAAACACCAGAACAAAGGGGGGAGTGGGCTGCTAGGGTACAGCCTCTATTAGTTAGGGGCTTACATACTAAAGGCATTTTTTTTCTGCTTTATGGTCTCTTAAGAATAGTAAGTCTAAACTTTAAGTGTAGTGTTAACCATCACAAAATGTGTACTTTATGGTTGATATATGTGAACTTATTTACATCGTCAATCTAATTTTCATTGTAAATGAAATTTTGCTCTCTAAAGTATGTAAATTTTATCCCTGTATGCTCATAATTTGCTTCTATTCAGAGTACTTCTCTTCAGACATATTTAAAAACTTTCTATTATTTACAATGCACTTGAAGATAGTCTTCAGTTTTCCTCCCATAAATTGAACAAAATTATGTGTAAACCATTAATATGCAGAGTTCCATAGTTTTTTTGTGTATTGGTTTAGTAAGAAAAGAAGGAGGAGGAGGATACTCACAGCTGCTAGCAACCCAAAAAGCAAGATTAAGGTCTTCCAACATCTATTCAGATGATGAAGATTAGGACACAATTGAAGACTAGAGTGTTTTCCTACTGTTATAAGTCACTGGGATTGATTCCTAGTACAAGGTAATCACACACAGTTCTGTAGGATGAGGTGGCTCATAACTGTAACCCCAGCACTCAGGAGGCTAAGGTAGAAGGATTGCCCCCAAGTTTTTCCCAAGCTGGGGCTATTCAGTGAGATTGAGATGAGCCTGAGCTGGGGTACAAAGTAAGACTCTGTCTCAAAGGGGGAAGAGGAGAAAGGGGAAAATATGCGAAATATGGGGCAGACTGAGAAGTCAATGATAATAGCACTGGGACTTCTCTCTACTGCATTACTGCTTTTTGGGATCCTATTCTATTTGGATGCATATCTTCCTAAGCCTGGATGGAGCAGGGAGGGCCTTGGACTTCCCACAGGGCAGGTTACCCTGTCCTCTCTTAGAACTGGAGGGAAGAAGCTGGAGGGAAGTGGGAGGAGGTGAGGAAGTGGAAATTTTCAATGGTATTATTTATAAAGTAATAAAAAAAGAAAATAAAATTGAAATGCCACTACAAATGAAAGCAATCTCAAGTGGATATTTGATTTTAAATATTGGAATTTATAAGAAAGTGAATGTTTGATTGGTCACATTCTTCATAAAATCTTGTTGTTTTTAGCTAAGTCTCTTTTGTTCTATTTTATCAATAGAGATTTAAGAACCAGGAAAAAAAGAAAGAAAAGAAATCTACATGGTCAGCCACGTATGGTGGCACACACATATAAAAACAGTACTCTAAAGGTATATGGCAAATATTGCCACAACTTTTACAGCTACCTAGGTCTACATAGCAACAGGCTAGCCAGAGATGAATAGTGATGCTCTGTCTCAAAAACACAAAGGAAAAGAAAAAGAAAATATGTGTAGATTCCAGTTTGAAGAAAAAAATTCTGAATTTAAAAGCACCTTTCATTCCATTTTGCTAGAATATTTTTGTCTTCCAGTATCATCTTCCAAAACAACAACAAAAACCAAGAAACAAAAACAAGAAGAAGAAACTCAACTATTTTGCTGCTTCTTTTGCACATTGTCCTGTGGTTTTGAATACTTATTGCCAGTCAACAATGTGTACATCAAACAAAAGGGAGCAATAATCTGGGATATGTTTCTGAGGCTTTAATTCTGTACTGACTATAATGTTAACTATACAAAGATCATTTTAATACCTTGGAGTAAAATATAAAGCAATAGAATCTAAACTCAATAGACATATTTCAACTGCCAAAAAGATGTGAAAATACAGCATTCAATACATGGGCTGCTGAATTGTGAATATAGTGATTAAAGATATCCATGATCCTTTGATTTTCATTCCATT